GGGGGGGGGGGGGGGGGGGGGGGGGGGTGATCCCACACGATTCTTACTCTGTATTTAGCGTGAGGGTTAATTGAGCTGAGTCATTGCCGGCTCGGGGCCGGCATTTCTCGTAACTGCCCGCCGAAGATGTAGGCCGTGCAGGAAGACTCAAATATTCGAGCATAAAGAGAATTCGACAAAAAATTTCCTTCGTTTTTTTCCTGGAGCATCTCTGTCGACCAGGTATCCACCTCCCACGGCCAGCCACGGTCCACCTGCAGAAAGCAGCACGGAAAATGCAATATGGCGGCGGTTGGGAGGGGAAGGCGGAGGGGGCTCCATCTGGACTCGTGGTGGGAGTCGCGCTGTGTTCTCGATATCGTCGTTTCGGATGTTAGGAATTAGGCGATGATTTTAAGGTGGCCAGAGGGCGTCGAGCTGAGTTCACTTCTTTTTCCCGTGCAGAAGTCGTCTCGTTCCTTTAGGCCCGACGTTAATGAAAGCCGCGGGGATCGGTTGGCCGAAACCCGGGATTCGGGATGTTCACGCTGTTGTACGGTCTCTGGAAGTGGATTTTCCGGAAGGATGAGTATTTCATACTCATCTTGGGATTGGATAATGCAGGTAGGCATAGGCATAAATGGAGGCCTAAGGGAATCCTTAGGCCTAGCCTGAGACTATGTTAGCCTTACGTTAGTCTGTCTTGAAGTTAGGTTGAAGCCTATTCGTATTAGTTGAGGCCTGGACCTATTCATATCATGATAGGTCTTTGTATTGTAGTATCAGACAGGTCTTTTCTTGGATCGATTCATAAGTCTGGGATAGGTATAATTTGAGGATATTCTAGCCGATAATGACTTATAAATGAATGTAGGCACAGGCTTAAGCTTATGGAGGCCTCAGCTCAGTATGAATGACTACAATTTTTGAATACTCGACTAGAAATGCATTAAGGGCAGCCCTGAACAAAGTTAGACATCCTGACTGGTTTTAGCTGTTTCCTGAGTACCTCCTAAATTCATGGATCACCTGGACTTTGCCATGTGACCATCAGCCAGATGTGTACACCCAAATGCAGCTGCCATGTGCTCACCTTTGCATTCTATGGAATTGCTCCATGCTTTTCTTTGGAAGTAACATTTGTTGGGAGATCAATCTACCCCTCATAACTGCCAGGCATGCAATATCCTATCCAAGGCAGCATGCATGGCCTGGAGATGATTTTACCCACTTTGTAGGTATTTCAATCGGCTTATCCAGGGTTAAAAAAAAGTATGGGTAATATTTCCAAACAAAATGGACCTTTCTTGAACTTTAGCTATCCACTGTTCATTATAGCTATCCCAGTGGCCTCTTGTATGACTCTGACATCCAACTCTCCAGAATTAGGGCCCATCCCTATTTCTAGTATGTACAAAATCCTATTAAGAACCTCACTCTTTTACTGTCCTGCATGAAGCAGGACAGTAAAAGAGTGAGGTAACATCAAGCATCCAAAATGAAACACATATAATGAATGAAGGGTGATTTTCACTTAATCATATAATTCTCCACTCAATTCATCTTTTGAGTGAATTTTTTTTCTCATAAATTCTACTATTGACATCTATATGTCAGTGTAATATAAAGAGTAGGATGTCATCTGAACAAGTGTAAGATATGCTCTTATTTGAATGGTCAGCACTATTGCATCTTGGGTACATTTAATGGGAGGAATTTCTCTGTGTTCTCTTCAGTCTAGCAATGAACCATTGACGAAGTGGCTAATGATTGCCCTGTGGACCAGTCCTTGGCCAATAAAGGGTCAGTGCTGTGGGTGCAAGCCTATATTCCCTCCCTTCTGCACTATTTCTTTAGTAGTAATTTTATTCAGATATCTTTGGCAATTCCCCTTGCCTATGTCTTATAGCCATTGTTCATATTATACATGAACCATTTGGCTTCTAAACCTATGCAACTCATTTGAAGGGACAAGGGATGGTGTACAACTTTACACCCTTATGGATTTCTCTTAGAATCTCATTGCAATCAACAAAAGTAAAATCTAAAATCACCACAATCACAAAACATTGTCTCAGCATTTTGTCAACAAGGATGCCAAAATAATGGAAATGAAATACTATGTTTAAGTATAAATGCAATCACCATATTAGGCAGGCCTTGAGGGCTCAATACCATAGAATAGAGAGTATAACTAGAGGTGACACTGCTTGAATCCCATTCATTGACAAGGTTGCTATTTAGATGTCACTGTTGATCCTCCACCTAGTTTGCGCATGTCAAAAACTCCTCCTTGGCCAAGCTGCCGACTCAACGAGACACGCACTTTACACAGAGGGATCCCTTTGGGTTGATTCCTGATTACACTGCCATGAAGCACGCCTCATGGAAGTGTTTTTTATAACAAGCCACCAGATGTCTCTGTAATATTTTGACCCTCCCCTACCCCTTAGAATGTCACATCTAGTTATACTCTCTACTCTATGCTCGATACTCTGACTAATGTTTCATCAGCTCTTTTTGGTTTTCACTAAATCCGAGCACACCACATAAGAACTAACTATAAACACATACCAAGGGAGCCGTATTCCTTTTGCTTTGGGCTGAAAGAGTGAGAAAGTCAACCAATTTTGGAGGATGATGGGTCGTTTGGGTTAGAAAAGGGTTGCAGCATTTGGCAGTGATTATTCTCATCACTTTGTTATCATCCTCTGAAATAGGTTGACTTTCTCACTCTTTGGCCTTTGACACAAATCCTGGGAGAAAATAATGGGGGTCCACCGTCTGCCAGTGCAATGATGGGTCTCCCTGGAGTGAGGATGAATTAGTGAAAGTGTAAAGTTGTGCACCATAGCTGTAGGGACCAGCTATCCTTTTCCTATGAAAATATGCATCCCTGTCTTCCTAACTCCTCCATCCACTTCCATAATTCATATCTGCATCTCAACTCCTGCCTTCCCAATTTCACCATCCACTTCCCATGGTGTGCAGCCTTTCTGACCTCCATGTCCATCCTATGAAAAAAAAATGCAATAGCAAGGCAGGGATTGAACCAGCAGCAATTATAACCCAAGTTACTATCCACTGAGCTGCGAGCAGTCTTACTGCACTTGAGACATCTACTTTTTGATCTATAAGAGTGAGACTTTTTAATTTTTGTACACTAAGTCGAAAGTAGCCTTATAGGCATGACACTAGCACCATGGAGAGCAGAGAAAAGGTGAAAAGGGGCTGTTATTCATTTTTTTAGTTTTCTTTTTTAATTCAATATTTTAGAATAGGTCTAATTACAATAGTTCAGCTGAATGTGATAATGTTGAAAGGAAACCTTCTTTCTTGTGGGTACCAAACTCCTATTATGGTTGTAATGTGAAAGATTGAATATGCCAATGTGGATGCTCCCTAGCTAACTTGCACAGACTTAGGTAAAGGATAAAATTATCAAGAGGGGTTTGAGGGTATCAAACTCCCTTCCAAATTCTCATTCACACACATTTTCAAGACTGTCCACCCCAACTTAAGGGAGTTATGGTTTAAGCAGGCCCAGGAGTCACCCAGTATTCCTGATCCTGGGTAATGGTCTCAAGCTCAGCAGATGGAGTGCTGAGCTTCTTATGAAGAAGCTTCACAAAATTGTTGTTTCACCTTGTTTGAGGTTTACAGACTGGTCTTCTGCCATTTATTATGGACTGATACCCTTAATGGGGATCTGTTGGGAGGCATGTGGTGAATGTGTCCAAGCTGTTGGACTTGAGATTAAATTGTGGAGTGAGCTGCTGAATATGGAAGTTCACTCGGATAGTGGTATTCCACATCCTATGATGGCATGTGGCATCGGTCACCCTACTGTTGAGCTTGAACCTCATTTTTATTGCTTGTAGCTGTGATCTTATCCTTTCAGCATGGCTCAAAGTTGGCTATAGGTGAGGGTGAGGAAATAAACACTGTTGTAGACCAAGATTTTAATTTCTTTGGATGTGTCAAATATTGGCACCTATGGTTTGTCAGAGTACTTACAAATTTACTGAAGCATTTGCTTGATATATATTGCATACATTACTGAGAACCAGATCCCAAGGTGCTTTTGAGACTGTTAGTACCCATTGAGATGAATGGAATTTCTTTTGAACAAATTTATTTGTTGAGGAAAAAAAAAACATTGTAAATGTTGGAGTTATTATCTAGAGACAGCTGATAATATGCTTTGTTGAGGATCTTATCCTATATGTAAGCCATAAATGAAGTGGAATATAGGCAAATTAGGGAAGGAGAAAGGGAAACCTCAAGAATAGGTGGAAGCATCTTTGCTTTCCTCCCTCAAGATATGAATGAAGGGTTATTAGATGTGGTTTGGTAGAAATGTTTAATGACAAGTATTAAACTTGGATATGTACTTTTCGGATTTCCAGGGAAGACAACTTACTTGGAGCAGACAAAGACTCGTTTCACCAAGAACTATAAGGCCCTTCCTCCAAACAAGGTCACAGCAACTGTGGGGTTGAACATTGGGAAGGTGGACACACTTGGGGTGCGCCTTAACTTCTGGGACTTAGGTGGACAAGAGGAACTTCAGTCCCTTTGGGATAAATATTATGCTGAATGCCATGCCATCATCTATGTAATTGATGCTTCAGACAGGTACGTCATTCAGTTCAACATCCTGCAATGATGTTAGCAGTAGAAGGAAGCTGTTAGAGAATTATGATAGATCAGGAGGTTCTTGAAATATCAAAATAAGTATATTTAAAAGCTTGCTTGCTTGTTGACACGGTCTGATTAAGGGAATGGTATTCACTTAGGATGGGATATGCATTTTGTAGTTCTTTGAAATCATTCCATGTATTCTTGTTTTATTTTATTTATTGCACTGCTGATGTTTATTCATAAGTTAGCTCTAGATGACAGGTTTGGTCTGTTGGAAATCATGCAATAGTGTCTTTCCAAGAGGAATGAAATACTATTCAAAAAATGAAGCGAAAGCATTTTCCTTTTTTTTTTAAATATCATTGCAGTTAGACAGGCTTAAGTCAGTCCATTAATAAAAAGAGGGAAAAAGCCTCACCATAAGTTGAATGGTAAAATTAAAATTGGGTCAGTTAAAAACAACTGTAATTTCTGATATTCCTAGATCATCAGTGAGTGGGAGTTTTGAAGGCAGTGAATAAGATATTGAACCTCAAAATCTTTCTGGGGGTATGTGGTACAGCTATGACTTTGGTAAAGCTGATGGGATCATACTGTGGCATTTTAAATTCTCACACAAGACATGAAAGTGCATTATCACATGTATTGTTCTTTGAACAATTTTTTATTATAAACAATTGATGAATTGCTGGAGTCTCTTGATTGCATGGAAGTAACTCAGAGAACTTGTTTCCCTAGCTTACAGAATTCTGCATTAAACCTGGATTTTGGTACATCAAACATATTCAGAAGATCTTTCCCTTGGGATCAGGTGTCATTCATCTTGGGTAGAAGTAGTTGATTTTCAGATATAGAGGCACTTAAAAAATAATAAATACTTTAGTATATCTGAAGGTTAAGGCCTTGTACCACATTGTTTGGATCAAGTGTGAGATGATGGTGTGAGTTTAGGTCTTGAACAACTATGAAGCTATAGCCAGGTTAATTTCTGAATATGCCAAACTGAATGGAAAGCTACAATCACTTTTGACCTCAGGCTTGATACACTAGATGAATATGACATTTGGCTGGAAGGTGTCAACTTGTTACAGAATTGTAAAGTAATTGCTGTAAAATATTGAAATGAGAAGGCTGTCTAAAGCATTGACTGGTTGGTACATTATAAAGGAATGTAGTTTCCCAGTAGTCAATCATTCCAGTAATTCAAATAATTCCAATCAGTTTTTTCATCTTATGCATTTTATTTAAGTCATTATGATTTCCAGCTAAATGTCCTTTTTTGCTTTTTTTGGACACAATATGGAACAGGTCATGTATGGGCTTCCAGTTACTTACTGCTTCATTACCATGACAGTTTTTAGATGTGCCTGAAGAGACACACCTCTGTAATGCAGTTTGTGCAATGCTCTTCAGTTTAGCCTGCCCCTGATAGCATCCCCTCTCAGAAATTATGAATTGTCTAATCTCTACATGCATTTTTCAATTTATATTGGATGACAGGTCACGGTTGGCTGAATCAAAAGCAGCATTTGACCAAATGATCAAGAGTGAGCATTTGATTGGAGTACCATTGCTGATTTTGGCAAACAAGCAGGACATACCTGACTGCATGGGTGTACGAGAAGTGAAGCCTGTGTTTGCAGACAGTGGAGATTTGATAGGTCGAAGGGATTGTTTGGTTATGCCTATCTGTGCGTTAAATGGAGAAGGGGTAGAAGAAAGTATACAATGGTTGACTGACTGTGTCTTACGCAATAGCACAATCAGGCCTCCTAAGGAAGATAAAGAATGAAGATATTAATCATTATTCCATGCACACTTGAGCAAGTACAGGAGTTCTGAATTTAGCTCTATCTGGACTGCAGAGACAACCATGGTCAGGTTTCTCCATAATAATTCACAGGACAACCCCCCCCCCCCTCCCCTTCCTATCCATCATTGATAGGCAGAGATCCATCATGAAGTGAAGTAACTGAGGCAAAATGGGAAAGTCTAAAAGGGAAAGCATCCATTGTCATCAGTTTGATAAAAGGCTTTGAGTTCCAATTTATGGATTTATTTTGTTTTCTTTCATTCCACATTTCTGAATATGAGAAAGAGTGGCAGCACTGCAATCAAGGTTGATGAATGAGGCTCTCTCCCTCTCCTCTTCCACAGAATCAACCTAAGTGATGAAATGTACCATAGCAGTCCTGTCAGATTTTCACCCCTTTGCTGCTTTTCTCCAGTTCATTTTCTGCTGAGCCCATGAAGGCCATTCTTTCACACTATTTATAAGAGGATGAAGGGTTAATGATGGTTATTAGTGTTGAAACAACAAAAGGCTTAAATCCTGGCTAAACAATGATATTGTTTTACCAGGATTCAACATTTTTCGGGTACTGCTACATTATGTGGGCATGAGGAAGAAAGTAGCACAATTCAGATTGGATTGACATTAAAAAACATGACATTGGATTGACATTAACAAGAAAAGAATGGCCTCAATGTTAATCATCTTTTGAAGCCACAACCCCTTTTTTTTTTCAAGTTTTCCTGTATTATCGCAAGCATATTATGTAAAGTATTTTATTTAATTGAGATCTGGCATTCAGTTTCCATGGGTTCTGATTCTGTTTGGTGTATTCATCAAGTTTCCCCTTTGGCACCTGTGATGCAAAGTTTGTTCATGAGCTTTACCCCTTTTCCTTTTAGGTAGTTTTTTCTATACTGGTTGGATATTGGTGGTGTTGAGTATTGAGAATGTATTTTTGATGTTCTTGCTCAATTTACCTACTGTTTCTTTTTCTTAATTGCACAAATTGCTGTGATATGTTGAGTGGAAGTGCAGAAGAACGTGGAGTATGACTGCCTTTGTGCCCTGGAATGAGGTATGTTCTTTTTTTTCCTCCTGCTCAGATGGTCAAAGATGAATGTTTGTCTAACATGCAGGATGCCAACTGCTGGTCTGACCTAGAAAGTCTCCTTATAAAATTTTTTTCCACACAATATTTCCCCCCTCCTTTTATAGAAATTTTGCAAATATGATCTACTCTTTTAGTTACTGTCAACTCAATTGAGATAAGTGCATGAAACCTGTTGTCATTCAAATTTCAAATATATATCTGTTCATGAGATACCTGGAGGCATGGGCACCACTTGGACAAGTTAACCCAATTGTCCTTATGGAAACCAATGTAGCATTTTCTTATATCAGCTGCTGTAGCAATGAATATTGAGAAGAGAGATTTCTTTTAGGCTTATGAAAGTAATATCCAAAAAGAAGACTGGCCATGATAGAAATTGTGATTGGGAGGACTAAAGATTCCAGCATGTTTGTGTTGAGGGGATGTAGCCGACTCCAGTGAGGGTGCCAAGACTTGTAAACTCATCTATAATTACTATAATTACTCATCTATAATTACATAGTGATTGCAATTTAATATTGATGCTTTCTTTTTTGCTTTGACTCTGTTTTTTGTTAAAATTTGTATTATAGTAGTTAAAGTTGAACCCTCTTAACTATTTCATAGTAAGTATATATTGGAATAGAAAAAAAAAAGCTTGTTATCCCCTTTGCTTATTAATATCACATTGCCACATTGTCAGAAATAATTAATTCTTAAATGGGACATAGATTTCACCATGCACAAGGATTTCTAAAAGATAATATTTCAATTCAAGAGTGATCAACTATTTCTGCTAGGTCATCCTTTCTGCTTCAGAATTTCTTTCCCAAGAAGTACAATCCCATTAATGTGTCATAATATGCCTCATGTTATTTACAGTGTTTTCTCATCACCAGAGATAGAAGCTGCATAAGGTAAGAGAGCTGTATTGTTGAAATTTCATGCAGGAGACTATGATAGTGTGGAGTAAAATTGGTTCAGGTTTTATATTCATAGAGTGACTTTCTATGAAGAAAACCCACTGAATGTTTCAAGGTTAAAGGGAATGCTCACTTTCAATGTAATCTTTTCTGTGCATTTTTCTTGATGAATTTCTAAATGTGGTTAGTATGTTTCCATTTTTATTTTTTATTTGGCACATCCCTAGATCATCATACCCAGTACATAATTGTGGGTTTTTAATTGGTACCAGTAATAGATTATCCACACCTTTGTTCTTGGTCTTGGTCTGATTAAGAAGTACAGTAGAGATACCGGTATCAGTATCAGTCAATATTTGCAATACCAATAGTATTGGTTCAACCAATAACTCTTCTTGCTGGCACATGAAACATAATGGGCATCTTTTATCTGGATCTGGAGTTCTGTTGGGATTTATTATGTAGGTTTTACCAACATGGCATGAAGTAGCTACCAGAGTGGGCACTTGGAAAGCCAGAATAACAGCCTTCTGGATCAATGTAAGAGTGGCTGACACGGAAAAAATGATTGTAATTGTGGCATATGTAATCTGAATTGAAGAGTAGCTGAAGTGTAGGCCCTGGTGTGCATGTTTTTTGCATTTCCTGTGATGTTTTCTTTTGATATGATTCCTTTGTGATTATCTAGCCTGGTTTTGTCTTCCATGTTTTTAGTTCTCCCTTAGTATCTCATCTCAGGGCTTCTGGGTGGAAAAAATGTATCATTTGATATTATTTTTGGTCTACTATCTTCAGGTGCATCCCCTCAAAAAAGAAATAAATTGTAAATCATCCATAAAAATTTTCTTGCATGTAGTTTTCAATTCCATGAACTAACTTTATTCCATGATCATGTGACAGTGGACTTGAAATTCAAAGGATCTGCATAGATGACCTTGCATAGTCCACACTTACATAGTCCACATTGACTGCCAATAATTCAGATGCTCAGCCAACCTCTCCTTGCCAAGCACAGCAATGGAGGTTCACTGTGCTGAACACACCATAATGTATGAAATTCAGTGAAAGTGTTAAAAGATGATTAAAAATAAATTGGCTCTCCAAAGATGCCAGAAAGTTGGCTAAGTTGAGGCACTTGTATCCTTAATGCCAGGATATGCTCTTGGTTGAGATGTCTAGCTTTCTTCAGGATTTTTCCTTAAATCTTTCTTGAGTTAGATGATTGAACTGCATTCTGTTTATTCAAGAGCCAGTTGCATCAGGTTGTTCCATCCCATTTGTATAGTACCTCCAAGATTTTATCATACGTATAGGCAAGGAAGTGTTTGATATTGTTTTAGTTTCCATGAAAGCAGATATAGATGTACTACCATGCAATCATGCAGCAACTTATAGATTCCCAATTAGAATATGGATGAGCCATTGCTGAAAGTGATGGTGGCTATCAATAGTTCAATCATTGGAATTGGATCATGTTTTTTTTTTAGGGAAAAATTTCTTTCTTTCAAATCTTTGATTGATTGATTGGATTCTTTGCACATCTGATTTTTTTGTGCAATTAATCATTGTTAATCTGTAATGTCTGATCAGATGGTATTCTCTGAATTTTATTGATTGAATGATGTGCATGAATGATATGTAAACTCTTAAATTCAAGAATATGATGCTAGAATCTATACTGGATATGGATAAGAGGGAAAGCCAGGAGTCTGGTATTTTATAATAATGGCATTAAATTAGTAGAGGAGACACCCTAATATGTCTGGGATAGTAGGCTGTGCCTATTGATACCTGAAAAACTGTCAGGATTACCAGACTTATCCCTTCAAGTTCATAGTGCTACTGACTTTCAGGGTCATTGTGAGTATTTACTGAGCAGCAGTGAAATCAAATTTTTATGGCATAGGTACCATGTTTCAAAGTGCACAAACTTTATACTCCATATAGAAACTTTTAATCTCTTAAGTTCCTGTAAAGTTCAATCCAAATAGCATTCAAATGAAACAAAAGGAGGATGTATTTTTCAGAAATATAATTGCTTTTTTGCTGCCATAACCTATGCTTTGCATGGCAAGGGAGGCTATCTGGGACTCCCTGTAGTGCTGGGAGATATTTGTCTGAAAGCCAAATCATATCCACCTGCAATATCACAATAGATCAATTTTCTCATATTGAGGGGGGAGGCAGGGGTGTGGGGAGTGGTGTTGGCTTCTTGGAAATCATGACCTTGCCTTCCATTCCTCTCTTTTGGCCCAATGGTTGGAAGAAATTTAAATTATGGGAGAGAAGGCAGAAGGGGATTATTGTAATGCATAAACTTTTATGGGCTTCCATTTACTGGAAAAAATTGAATGATCCATCAAGTGTATTAATAGACTGCAGTGAAGGAGGTAGAGAAAAATTTAAATTGACACCTTATGTTATATCTAAGTGCTGATCATCCAGTATTTTGATATTTAATTACTGATTTTCTTCTAAGATTGTTGCTTTTAGGTGTGGGATATGCTCATTTAAATAACAGGGATGTAAATGTTAGTTTCTGGGCTATTCTACTTCTCCTAGGATGCATTCAGAGGATTTTTTCATAGTATGTGTAGAGATATGTAACACCATAATGAATTCAATATTTATTGATTTTTATTTTTATAGCATGATGAGCCCTCAATATCAGCAATCTTAATTTGCATGAAACTGGATGATATCAATATTGCCATCTTCATATCGTGGTTTTTTAAATTACATTCATGTATCATGCAGCCCTTAACACAACTTAGTTCTCTTCAAATTTACTCATTTAATTTGGCAATATTATTTAATTATGTTATTTATGACATTTATTTAATCCCTTCAGTGGATATGATGTATGTATCATTCATGGTGAAATGCCTCCTAGTTGGGTTTGACATAAAAAAAGTTATATTTCAAGTTTGAGTCAAATATCAATTCAAAACTTGAGATAAGTGTATAAACTCCAAAAAGAGTAGTAAATGTCTTACACCAGCATTAATTATTATTCTCACAAATAAAGTTTGACTCTGGTGGTAGACTTCTGCCTGAGAAATTCCCCACTCAAAGGGTTAATAGCTGGAGGTTATTGCATAAGTAGTCTCCCCATATGAATATAATGTTTATATAGTAATTTCCAGCCAGTTTTACCCAGGGTGACCTGCATAGATAAGGCAAGCATTTAACGAATGTGATGTGTATTGGACCTCTGAGTGATTCTATTTATAAGTTGGTGTAGTTCCCATAGGTGCACAATGAGGAATTAAATCAATTTAAAGTTTAGCTGAGAGGGTACATTTCATGCTTTATTTATCTACTGTATTTTGACTCAAATCTGCATTAGACAATTTTATTAAACCAAGCAGATAATTAATTTCAGAGGAGATGTGGTGTAATTGGAATAAATTCACTCCTATCAATATTTAATCTACAAATTTCAGATACTGAAGCCTTTTCCTTTATTCACCACATTCAGTGGGGATAGTAGGGGCTTGAGTGTGGTTGGTTAATTGATCAATTTAATTCATAATTAATCATTAAATTTTAAGTTAGGTTAGCAACTGCAATAACACATCTCTGGTAATAGAATAGAAATAGCTTGCAGATACCTACACCAGTGCCAGGAGTAAGAACATGGGGACATCACGCTATGACAGGGCCATTACTGTTTTCTCTCCAGATGGACATCTATTCCAGGTATATAAGCTCAGACCATTATTATTTCATTGTGTTTATTGCATTTTGATGAATGGTGACAACTTTTCCCAGGTTGAGTATGCCCAAGAAGCAGTGAAGAAGGGTTCAACTGCTGTTGGAGTTAGAGGAAAAGATGTGGTTGTTCTAGGTGTGGAGAAGAAAGCCATTGCCCAGCTGCAAGAAGAACGAACCATTAGGAAAATCTGTCTTCTAGATGAGCACATTGTCATGGCATTTGCTGGTACTGACTGCTCTTCTTTTTTTTTTCTTCCCAGCAGTATCTTCAACAGGAAGAGAGAAACTCACAACTTTGTTAAATTAGAGTTTCAGGAAGGCAGAGCCAGAAGAGCAGGGAATATAAAATGCTGATTGCATATCAAATAAATATGATAAAATGCTTTATGGATATTAGTATGTTTATGGAAGTGTTCCACCAAACTGTAGCATGCTATGAACCTTGGACTTAGAGAACTCTGTAATTCTACCCCCTGGATTGCCTGTTTTTTCTCCCTAGGTTTGACTGCAGATGCCAGAATCTTAATTAATCGAGCACGAGTTGAGTGTCAGTCACATCGTCTTACTGTAGAGGACCCAGCTTCCTTGGAGTACATCACTCGATATATTGCAAGTCTGAAGCAACGCTACACCCAAAGCAATGGCCGGCGGCCATTTGGCATTGCCTGCATCATTGGTGGTTTTGATATTGATGGGACTCCTAGGCTATACACAACAGATCCTTCTGGGACCTATCATGAGTGGAAGGCTGATGCAACTGGCAGGAGTGCCAAAACTGTCAGGGAATTCCTGGAGAAAAACTATGCTCCTGAAGCTGTTCAAACCAAGGAAGGTATGTCATAGTACAAGTTCCAATTTTCTCCTTCAGTTCAGTAATTTTTTTTCTACACCACTCCTTTGCCTACCCAAATTAAATAGCATTATTCATGCTAGCCAGAATGACAGCTTATTATATGTGGGGTTACATCTGCATGAGGACATAGTTCAATGCAGCCCTTGATTTGCATTGCAATTTTATGGAAGAAACTCAAAGTTCTCTCTTGGAAGGCATACTTATGCTCTGAGATTGAAGGCCCTCACATTTGATGCAACTTGCTCATTTATCATGACAGAGAGAGAAAATAAGATCATATTTAAAGAAACCAAGTTTTCCTCTGTACATCAGAGGTTGTCTTTGGACACCCTTTGGTACAATAAGACCTATTTTAGAGGAATTTGAGCTGCTGGCTGGATGTAATTTTCCTGTTGCTTAAGGTAAAAGTAACTCTTATAAATAAGAAAGAGTAATTACAAGTCCCAAGATGCATGTGCTTTGATCACATTATCTTTCTGAGAGAAGAATTGGAAACCTTGCAGGTACCATAAAGCTGGCCATCCGTGCACTTCTAGAAGTTGTCCAAAGTGGAGGTAAGAACTTGGATGTGGCTGTGATGGAGAGAGGTGGTCCGATGAAGATGTTGGAACTCTCTGAAGTAGATAAGTATGTTACTGAGATTGAGAAGGAGAAGGAGGAAGAAGCCGAAAAGAAGAAGCCCAAGAAATAACACATTTTTTTAATGTGACACTTTTTTTTTTTCAGTGTTGCATGTGGCATAAAAAAAAAGCAAATAACTCTACCTTGGATAATAAAAGCAATGAAAACCATCATTCCAAGGTGTTCATGGGGGTTTTCATCATCCATATCCCCTGCCCTAAAGAGAAATTTTACTTTGTTCCATTTTTTCTCTCACGTGATGAAACCTTGTGGAAATTGTTCTTGTTTGTATGCAAAACATAGCCAACAAATGGTGACTGCAATAACACTGTATTATTTTCACAACTCACACAATACTGTTACGAGGGGCATGGCTGTTTCTTTTGCAGCCTGGGAGCCTGAAGAATGGGTTACCCTTGTGCTCAGGTTCTTTTATATATTGTTACTGAATCCTCGGCAATTAACAGTACACAAGGAAACGCAGTTCTAAGTTCATAATGGGTTACCTAGGTGTGTTTAACCCTTTGTTAGATCTCCATGCTCTGTATACATGTCTTCTAGTGACATTTTGGCTCGACAATAGATATAGGTACCCAAGCTATGACTTTCTTCAGTAAGTTATGATTTCCACAAACATGGGCATCTTGTTCTAATGCAATTTGTTTAGCTGAGAGGTTGTAAAAGTATTTTGAAAAGTTTGCACGAACATAAGCATCATGCTATAATGGGTTCTAGGTACTCTGTAATCAATAATATTAAAATGCTTGACATTTTCAAATGTAGCATGTGATTCCCTAAATTTGATAAGGTGTTATGTCAAATTCTTTTGTGCCATTTAACTAGGGCATTGGAACAAACTGAGATATTCAGCAGACTAAAATGAAATCCTTAAAAGATGTGAAAATTCATATGGAGCAAAAAATGAAGCAGAATATCAAAGAAATTAATTTTTCATTTCCCATTTTATTACATTTTTTGTTGTGAAATTGTGAGAGCTTGTCGGTAGCATTTGTAGAAGTGATATAAGGAATCAAGAGAACTGACATCTTGTTCACAGCCCATTTTCCATTGATAGGGATGAATGGAGCATTTCTTTTGTTATTATGTTTCTGCAGTCCATTCCTCAAGGCCTTCCATTTCAGCAGGTGCTGCATTTGAAATTGAAGAGTTTCAAATGTTGAAGTGTTGGCTTTACATAGCCAGATGAATACCAGCACTGTAATAGAGTACATGAATCAGGTGATACACATTCGCCCATGCAAGAAAAAGGGTGGGTGCCTTTCCTCGAATGGCCTTCCTGCTGTGAGCCTCATTCCCCTAAATTCTGGAAATGAGTGCAAACCGGCAAAAGACACGCCTTTCCCTGCCATTGTCATTGAGCGGCTTGCAAACAGCAGCTCGACTGTGCAGCTGAATGAAGAGCTCTGTATCCGACGGGTGTCAGAAGATGGGAGCTCTGAACTTTCCTCTGCGGCGGAGGTCGAACCAGATGTTCGGATATATCCAGTGTCTGGAGATGGACAAGAAGCAGCACCTCGAGACCCCATCTTTGTTGTCAATGGGCGTGCGGAATCCCCGGTGAATGAAGCAGCTCTTCAAATTGACTGTGAATCTGGAGAACCAGAATTGACTTCAGTGACCCCATTTGCAGTGTGTGAGACAATTCTTGAGGAGGGTGATACTGAGTCATCTGATGTGTCAACCTCCAATGACCTTGGTGAAACGTCTTCCAAAGATCCTCTGGGAAGCCCCATTGTCATTCGAACAGACACACTTTCTGTTGCTTCTGTGTTGTCACTTGATGGGCCAGGAATCATGAGGAAGAAAAGAGAACCTCGGAAACGAGTTCAGGTTGTGAATGGCCTCAATTATCATCCCAAGGTGAGGCTTCATGAAAATTGTACTCCTCTCTATTGAAAATCATTGCTGGTCCTGTGCACCAACTGAGATCACGCCAGACTTTATTTCATCAACATACATTCTTTCTGAATGTGAAGACTTCTATGTCTGTCCTGTGATGACCATATGTTGCCATAAATTTCTGTTGTGTGGTGCTCAGGATCCCACTAGGAGACTAGTGTATGAAATTAATATAACTGCTCTATTTTATTATTTTTTTGCAGCTGAAAAGTACCTTGAATCCCAATAAAGACAACCGGTGTGTGATCTGTGACAAGGACTTTGCAACCGCAAGTTGCCTTTCAAGGCACTATCGCCTTCATACGGGTGAAAAGCCCTACAAGTGCAAAGAATGTGGCAAGGCCTTTGCGGTTTCCAATTACCTTCGAACCCACATGAGAACACATTGGAAGGTGAAGGCCTACAAGTGTGATGTAAGTACCAATTCCTTATGAGCAACTAAAATCCTCACTTTTCTAACATCTGTATACAAGGTGGGTGTCATGATATCTGGAGTCCTCTGCTTCATAAGAGCCTCATGATTGTGATATAAAAATGTACAACTCCATACTATAGAATTGGTAATGATGTCGTATGATAATGTCTTCACAGTGCCCTTCACTTAATGGTGAGGAGGAATTGCCAAAGTATTAGGGTCAAAGTTGACTTCCAAAGTTCTTTCATGTCTTAGACTGACTGCACATGCCATGTGCATCTGAATGCCATTCTTGAACCCCATCTTGTGATAGGAAGTCCCAAATGTTTCCCTCTATGTTGAGAAATGCTGCTCTGCCTGGTGTAAAGCTTGCATGTAGTAGTTCAGGATGTGTATGTTGTTTTTCTTTTAGATCTGTGGGAAAGGGTTCAACCAACCAAGCAATCTTAAGATCCACCAACGTCATCATGCAGAGTCTCCTCACATCTGTAAATACTGCGGCAACTCCTATTCCACTCTGAGTATCCTACAGAAGCATATGGTGTCTGTTCATGGGAAGCGAGAAACATTCATAGAAGAAGATGATGCTACTGTCACGTGTGAATTATGTGACCAGAGTTTTGAGTCTTTCGATGTCTTCGAGGAGCACATGCATGAGATTCATGACGCTGCTGTTGTTAGACCGTCCAGCGTTGATTAGTCCAGCCCTTCTTCCTCTAAATGTATCCTCTTTCCCTATTTTATTCGATATTGTCAATTTTTCTCTGTACCTACTGTAAGCCTTTGACATTGATGTCATTCAGGTGTCCCCTTCACATAATTAAAATTTTCTATAGCAAAAGTTTTATAAGTATTCATTGGAAGAAAGCACATGAATGGTGTCATTGTTTAAGGTTCTAGGGCTGCTTTGAACATCAAAATTTTAATCCTTTTTTTTTTTTTCTTTTCCCCCCATTTTGGTGTGGCAACTCTTGGATATTAAGGATAGTTTATATTCACAATTCCTCTGTTTTTAGTGGTTCTATGTGCAGTTGCATTTCATGGAAGAGGAAATATTGCAGGATTTATTTTATCCATATGGTAGTAAATTACAAGTGCATGGGAATGACTTTGGCTTGTAATGCTCCTATTGACCCTCATTTCTGACTACTGGAAGGCTTGTAGAGTGAGGTTTCTTCCACTGTTTGTTATATCCATACTGTTGATGGAATGGCCTGTCTTTCTCCAGCCTTGAAAAAGTTACCTGGCTTGAACCTCTTGACTGAATCGTACCTCTCATTCATGTGTGTTGCCTACGGTAAAAAAAATAAGACTATTTAAGGAAATTGAAGTTGTCCTCTAGTGGTTGCTACAAGGTGAAGGTATTACTTCCTGAGTACAGTTCATGTAAAGACTAGTATTTAATAGCATACAATATCCTCTTTAGTCCTGAGAATTTTCCTGTGCAGAATGTTCCTTTTTGATCCTTCACTGCACAAAATGAGAAAGCCTCTGAGAAAAAACATTTAAATTTGTTGTACATTTTCTTCATGACATCATAAAAAGTTATTTTGCACCAAACTGCTAAAATTAAGTCAGTTTACTGCAATTTTGGGTTTTTGTAAGAATGAGATGCATTTGCAAAATGAGAGAAACTGCAAAAGGGAAAGTTTGGAAATGGACGAAGATGTAAAATAAAGATATGAGACAATAATGCAAGAAAAAATTGTCAGGGTACAAGTTATGATGCTTAAAACAATTGAGAAATAGCAAAAAAGTCAGGTCAAAGGTCTTTAATCAGCTATGGTACTGACCCAATGTTTTCTGGATGTTCCCAATTGGTTACAATCTTACATTTAAAAAATATTTATGTTCTTTCCATTTTGGAACATCTTGAATATTTCAGGAATTCCCCATTTGCCACACAGTCTTCAGCCATTCATTATATGCAAAAACTAATTGGTAATGTTTCCAATCTGGAACACAGTGAGTGCAGTGAAGGATTAAATATCAGCTACACCATGTTGAGGGTTCTCTTTGAGTTCAATGCTAGTGATTCATCTGCTTTCCTTCATATGTTTATATATATTGAAAACTGGATTTTTTGCTCCAATGAATATATATTGAATAATATATAAAAATTCAAATGTTCAAAATTCTGTACACTGGGAGTAAAAAGGATATTTCAACTCTGGAAAAATCCTCAGAAATATAACAGGTACTGCTTCATTGTCAGGGGTTCATGAAAAATGATGGCTGAACATCCTCTTGCTTTCCATTCTGTTGCTGTGCCTATGTTAGCCAATTGACATTTTCCCTTTTATTTTTTTTTACTAGGTACCTGTCAAATTTTATTTGTTACACAGTCTTGCAGTTCATTTTTCTGAGATATGTAAGAACTCAGTTCATCATAGCATTATTATTCAAATTTCAGAATCAGATTTCTCTTGGTCGTGATGAATTTACTTGGCAAAGTCTCAATGTTCTAGTAGTGGATCTCATTCTCCCATTTTTTTTAATTTTCTGTGAAAGGTAAAGGAGAGAAGGGCAAAAAAATGCATGTGCTTTATTATACATTATGATAATGGTTTTATGGTGGAAGAAAGTTCCCAAATGTCCTTGGGGTTATGTTTTAATCAAATGAGTTTTTCTGAGCAGTACCACCTATGCTACTAGCTGTAATTTTTTTTCAGACTCCGTCCTCTTCCTCAGCATGAGCTGCCCTATTCCTAGCATCATACGAGACAGTTCATATGATCAACAAGCTTTCAGCGTCATACTGTGAAAGGATGGGTTTTTTCTTGATGATGGGTCGGGATTTTTTTCTTTTCATTGTTTTCCTGTTTTTTTTTTTTTAAACTTGTATACCTAACATTTTTTGCATGAAGCAACAGATTTATTTCTGGTCTTTCCAATTCTCATAACCTTTTCTTTTCTCACTAGGTGGTTACATGTACCTGAAAACTCATATTTCTTATTATCTCCGCATGAGTTTCCCGGTATCATCTTTTTACATTACTTCTTATACATATTCTTTATATTGTCCCCTTCTTCTGATGGTCATCACAAGATCATCCTGGAGTTTATCATCAAGGGGATCTTCTTGTTACAGAAAGCTATCTGCTCTTCTGGAATGGCATCTCAGTCTCTAGTCAATCAGTCAGCCATGAGGTTTCAGTTGTGTGACAAGATGTCCCCTGATGGGAAAGCTGCTTTATTATGTCTGTCTTATTATTTGTTCTCTTTGTGACATCTATGCTGTGATGCCATGGGCGTAACAGTCAGTCTTTTTCCAGATTCCAACATATCTGGTTCTCTCAATATGAGAGGCTATTGCAATGGACTTCAGACTGGCCTGTTATAACTTCCAGGCCAAAGGGAAATTCTCATGTGAGATGTGGACATCTATAGACAGTGCATCGGGAGACATAAAATTAGTCTTGGGTGGGCTGGGAGTTGAATTTTTGTAGATTTTTTGCCAGAGATCAAAGCTCATATAAAGTATTTTTTTTGCAGAGCATTGTGGAATTGATAAGGGATCTGAATGAAGAGATGTTCATGCTCCCCGATCCGTGATATACTTTTCCCCTTGATTTTCTGAAGAAATATTTTGGCATGATCTCGACTTCATCACCATTTGCTCCTAATTTATTGATGTTTTTGAGGCTATTTAAATGGAGTGAAAGTGTAGGTCTATGTCTTTTTTCATTGAAGAAGATAATGATTATTATTATGATGATGATACTGTGTGTGGCTCCCTACCCAGGTTGTGTTCACACTTAGTCACCTTCCGACAATTGCGGACTTTCAGGTAGTTGGGTTTGGGCTTTCTCCTCTGCCCCTTTTTGATCAGGTTATATTTTGCACTGTATCTCACTTCATGGGAAAAGGTGAACATTCTCTCGGTGGTCTTGTAAGAAGGAATAAAAAGAAGTTTTTACATGATCTTGACATTTTTGAGTTCCATTGATGACTTAGAGTTCCTTTGAGGATCGATGACCTAGTCATTGAGAATGGAAACCAATTGTTCCCCAGGTTGGAGCATCATAAGCTCCAGCTAGACACCTTTGGGTGGTATGCAAAAACATGCATCAGAAAGTTATCTTTTGAGTACTCATTGATCAAGTCAAGCTCAACTTTTATTCCCATTTTCTTGCCATCCACCCACTGTCTTGTAGGGGCTTAACAAAATTCTTATTTAAATGTGATGTTGATTTAAATAGCTATCATAAATATTCTAACATTTATTGCTAATAAGTGTCATAAGTGGACAAATGATTACTGATTCTTGACTGATGAGCTCCATGCCAAATGGCCTAACAAGTTTTTCATCTCCAGTGGCTGAAATGACATATTATGTGACTGACTACTTCCAGTTTGGATAGGTACTGCCTGTATGAAGAGGCAGAACAGAAACTTGGAAAGAAGATGAGGGGGAACCTTGGAAGTATGGAAGAAGGAGGAGGAGGAGGAAGGAAAGCAGTATGTCACTTCTCCAGCAATGATGTTACTTATTCTACTACCTCAGACAATTCTCTCTTCACCATTTCGGTGGATCCCTCATTGCTGGACTCCTCAATGCCTGTTGTGATACCATTACCTGCATCTGTGAGGGTTGATCTTCCCATGTGTGACAAGGGGGTGAACACAACAACATGTATTGATGAATTTGAGGATGCCCCCATTGTTGACCCAACTGCAGAAGATTCACTGTGTCTGGTCTGTCAGCGCCCAACAGTGGATCCTTCTCTCGCTAATTACCCCATTCCTGCTACTGCTCGACTGAGACCATCTTTCTCAACTGTCATGGAAAAGCTAGAGTGTATCCTTGAGACGAAGGTGACTCTCCACAAACAAGAATATGTGTGTAGAAAATGTTTCAGCTTGGTTGAAGAACTTGACTACCATGAATCCAAAAGTAGAGATATTCATAAGGCTGTTGTAAGTTTGTTTTGGAAGGCAAAGGAACGTAACTGCATGTCGCAAACATCTCAAATAATAAGTCCAGAGGAGGATCAGATTCCTCCTCAGTCACCTAATGCTACCTCAGTCATCAATCTGGAAGAACCTCAGCCCAAAATGAAAGATGATGTGCTTGACTTTGAGGAGATGCCAGAGAAGTCTTCAAGGAGGGCATCCTTGCGCATCAAAGCAAAGCAGCGAAAAGAAAAGAAATCAGGAGAGAGTGTTTCAAAGCCTTTAGATACCAATGATAGTGTGACAGAATTGCAGAATGATGATGGTGATCATGACAGAGTCAACTCTAGTGTCAGTGATAACTTGACCAAAGATGAGGAGGATGACAGCATTGAAGCTGGGGAAAGGAAATCAAACAATGAAGACAGTCCTGGTCAATGGTCACAGTCAAAGGTCACTTTTGTTTTCTACAAGATATTTTTTTGGAATTACTGGATCATCCAGCATGCTTTTTATGGTGTTGCAGGATCCTAGAGAGAGACGGAAGACACGGTGCCATGAAATTGTTTGTGACCAATGCCAACGATCATTTGTGTATCGAGCTGTCTATCAAAATCACATCTGCATGAAGCTAAAGGATGGAGAGAATTTTGAATCTAATTCAGGAGTGTTCTCATGTCGTCTTTGTTCAATGTCTTTCAATCGTCAGGTGAGACCTGATTTTTTTTTCTATATTAACCCTTTTGTGGGCCAAGTTTTTCCAGGAGACATACCTTGTAACGTTTTAAGAAAGATATTGGACTAAACCTACCAGTGCCACAAGCTCCTTCTGTTATTGTCATTCATGTTTTCTGTGGAGTTTCTAGAATGTACTGTTAGTGGTAGCACCAATACAATCTGGGAAACATGCTTCCCATGGACCCAAAAAAATACAAAGATTACTAGTAAACATATTTCCATGGTCCGTAAAAGAGTTAACAGAGATGGATGGCAGTGGTTTTTCATTCCTGAAGAGGACAGTTGGCAGTTTTCAATCATGTGATTGATAATTCTGTGTCATTCTGCATGCAGCTCAAATTTCAGAATAGCCACTGTATAGCTTATCTCTATCAGATCCAATGCTAATGTATCAATAACCATGAATCCATTTCCTTTCCTAGGGTGAGCTAAGGAAGCATTTTTCAAGTAACCATCCAAATGAGAAGCCATTCAAATGCCATGCATGCGACAAACTCTTCACCTTCCATTGTGATTATTCCCGGCATGAGCTCATACACACACGTGCCAATGCACAGAGGTGCAACATCTGTCAACGTGTCTTCAGTGGGAGTTATAACTTGGATCTTCACATGAAAAAAGCCCATACAAAAAATGGCATCCTTGTCCCTCTCCCAAAGTGCCAGGATTGTGAAAAAACATTTAGTTCCCAACAGAGTTACCAGGCACATTTGGATTCAGACCATGGTCGTGCAGCCACTCGTCTTCTTTGTTCAGAATGTGGGCAGGGTTTCAGCAAACAGTGTGAACTTCGCCTGCATGAGATGAAACACAGGGGTGTGTATCGTTACCCATGCCCCCACTGCACCCTCAAGTTCAATTGGAAGAGTCACTACAAGCGCCACATGTTGACTCACACTGGAGTCAGGAACCATACATGTGAGATGTGTGGCCGAACATTTGCTCTAGCACAAAACCTGAAGGTGCACATGATGATTCACACAGGCGAAAGACCATACAAATGCACTCACGAAGGCTGTGACAAGTCCTTCCCCACCCAATACGGCCTCGAACGGCATTGTATAGTCCACACTGATGAACGACCTCACGTTTGCAATGTGTGTGGAATGTCTTTCCAAATGAAGTGCAACCTTCAGAAGCATATCAAGACACACACAGGAGACAAACCATATCTCTGCACTACCTGTGGGAAAAAATTCATCGACCAGTCTCACCTGCGGACTCACGAGCGGTTTCACCTGAACTTACGCCAGTTCAAATGTCGTCACTGTGACAAGACGTTTGTGCTTCGTTCTAATTGCCGTCGCCACGAACGGACTCACTTCAAGTGCAAGGTCTGTTGCAAGGATTTTGCCTCGTCTGAGGAACTGAGTGAGCATCGTCGATCTGAGGCCCATCAGACGACAAAGCAGCGGAAGACAGCATCAGCACCAGGGATCGTATCTGTTAAAGATATCACGCTTCATTCAACTACTTCAGCCACACTTAATCCTGGCAACACATCTGCAACCCTTTCTGTGATTGGAGCTCAAGCTCTGCCCCAATCGATGGGTGATGTGATGAATATGGAACCTGGGTCTGACCTCCTGTATTCACATGCACATGCAGCAGCCTCACTTAGCAACACTCATCATGTTGTTTCATTGACAGAAGGCCAACAAAATGTTCTCCTTGAGAGTATGGACATGAGTGATTTAGTACAGGTGGATGCCGATGCAAAGATGTCGGAAGATTCTGTCAGTCGTGCTTCTGCTTTACTCCATGGCCACAATGCTGAACTCACAGTTCGGCCCATATATTAAAAGGGAATTCTATGAGAAAAATTATTCTGGTTTAGATAGGAGAACTTTGGAAACATCCTTAGAAACATTAATAAATTCACAATTTCAGTTCATTTGCAGGCTAAAAGAAAGTTACAACTTAATGATCCAAGTTGTGATTCTCGTTTATTTTTTATATGACAGGGAAAAAACAGATTTCTGGGGGAAAATAAGTGCTTAAAATTTACATCTTTGAAGGTACAATGTACTTTGAGCATCAGTTGCTTCAGGCTGCTAGGCAGATTCATTGAACATGCTCAGGAGGGAATGCAGGAGTGAAAGGAAACCAATAAAAAATTAAGATGGCTGCTGTAGGTTCATAAACTTTGCGAGAGTGTATGGGCAAGGTATGAAATTATGGAATACTGAAGTTGGAACTTTAAAAGATGACATTTGAAGATGCTACTTATGGGGGGAATATGTGCTCTGCTTCATGATATCAAAGTGCCAGCAATTAACTTTTGACTTGCAACTAATTTGCCCCTGATGCCTTTGAGGCATGAGACAAATGTTCCATACAAGGTTAAATAGGTCCAATTTTTTCCTCACAGAACCCCGTTCACAAAATAGCTGTATATATCCGCCTTCTGAAAAAATTATTGTCTTTCTCCTGACCTGGCCAGCTATGTGACATGTGATTGTATCTTCCCTCATCTGGCCTAATGCATGGTATTTGTTTACATTATTATTACTTGTCCTATTTTTTTATCATCAGAGCTTAATGCTCTGGAAATCTCATGACTCTTTGAGCATTTGCTCTTGTTTTACCTCTGACCCAACCCCTTGGGTCGTCAACTCATTTCGTCCCTGTACCAAAGAAAGTTTTCATTGACTGCTAATTAGCAGCATTCACCTCTGAACGAAATGTTGTTGAAGACTTCATGATGGTGTCAATTTCTGTATTTGCGGCTGTTTACAGATGAGCATAATTTAGGATGCAGAAAATTTTGTGTTTCTAGTGAAATTCCTTTTTTATTTTGCTTTTAGGCTGTTTCTAATCATGGAAACACGAGCTGTGATGAGTTGACGAGCTTCAGTCACTCATTAGCATCACTGAGATGTGCTTCCAATGGGAAAAAAGTGATGGAGAATACATGAATGATTTGTAGAGACAAACCTGGTTTCAATTTCTATTCATAGAAGTCCTGTCAATCTCAATCTTGTTTATGATCATGGTCAAATTCTGCAACGCATGCCAGACCATACAAAATCTAGTCTTAGGCGCCAGGAATATCAGACTTCGTGATTTTTGTGGCGTAATGGCTCCGACTAATGAAACGTAATGCTGCAGGAATCACGATGCGTTGGACTTGTTCGATACCGAAACGACAGGCCATCCCCTACGGCTATTTTTTGCTTGTGATACACCCTAGTTTATCTTCGCTTTCAGTAATGGTGTAAAACTTTCCTTATACTGTGCTCACGAAGTCATATCCTGTGCAAGGCACTATGTTGAGCTTCCAAGAAAATGACGCTGTAAGATTCCTCCCATTGGGATTTTGAGAGGCAAAGGTGCTTCGATTCAGTACCGATTGCGAAGTTCCTGAATGAGGGTGATGGTGTCGCGCATTTCAGGCTCTCGAAACAGAATCAGGAGCTGTTGGGGGAAACGCTATTTGCAGAAAAACCATTTTATTTTCCCAGTTTGAATGAAGACGTGTGCCGTTCAATGTCCAGATGATGCACATACGACCGCACATGCATCATCGGGGCTCAAGTGGCTAATGGATAACAATTCGTTGCATGGGGGGGGGTAGGACAAGGGACTCCCAGGCTTCTTGAAACATCGACTATCCAGAAAAATCCCTCCTGTCTCCCAATGACTTTGTTTCATCCGGTGAAGGGTGGGCGGAGAAGGCACTGCAGGAGGAATCCAGTCCACTTTCATTCATTCACGAGATTAAGACTCCTGGCAGATGGCTGGGTTGTAGATTGTCACCCAGGTTAACCCTTGAGTCCTTCATGGAACTCTGACAGTCACTCAACAATAAACAAATGGATTAAGTATCATCCTATAAATTGAACTCCTTCGTGGATCATGGCGCTGCCAATTCGATTATATTAATCCACCGGTTGATCGTTTTGAGTTCTGATTGTCATAAAAAAATTTAATCTAAGTTTATCGAATTTTAAACAACCCCAAAATCCCCTTCTGATTGCTTGTTTTTGTCTGCGAATGTCTGCATAGGGCACAGTCTTCCAAAATATTTGTGAATGTTTCGTAGGATTCCGATGAAATGGTGGCTTGTAAAAGGCAGTCGCTGTTTGCACGGCTCACTCCTCGACAATAGGTCCCCCTCCCCTTCCTCACCATGGCGTATTTTTACTCATGAGGAGTGCAAAAAGAGGGCTTCGTGCTTCGTAAGTGTGGTCTGAGTGGCACGGCCGCGATAAGTGAAGTCGAAGAGGCTTGAACGGAAGGATGATTGTAGTTGGAGTGATGGGGACGGGTATGTCCAGGCAGTCTGCTTTCCGCAGGCATCCAGAGAGCACGCACCATGTGAAAGGACATGCAGAAAATGCGGTCTATTGCCATACCCCCCCCGGGCAATGGATTCGTTTTCCTCCGCTACCTCGCCCTTACGCGCGAATTCGAGGTGCTTCCAGCTTTCTGTTTCGTTGCAGAATTGAGTTGGATGAAACTCCTTGCGATCGTGGCTCAACTAGTGCGAATACGAGAGGTGGGCGGGTCGGGTCGCATTGGATCATTTCAGTTCACACAGGTCGTACTGACACATTGGATTAGTTTCCTGCACGTCTGTCCGTCCTTTCATGTTCGGGCGAGTGTCTATCAGGAAATGCTCCAACGGTGACGACAAATTCCGCTCCTATCCGGTCGGTTCGTTGTCCGTGGCCCCATTGAGGAAAGTCAGGTCAAATTCTAGAGAAGACGCTTTGCCTCGTTCTGCGTTGGTGTGCGGACACTCGAGGTTGGTTATGCGAGCTCTTAGACGAGAAAATCGCGACGAAACAGGTCTCCAAACACGACCGAATCGTCAAGTTTTAGACGTGACTGAGTCGAGAAGCAGGAAATACTCGTTTTCCCCTACAATTCCTCCCATCGTGTCCGAAGTTCAAGGTGTCTGTCAAAATATTGACATTCTAATTCGAGGTCGAGCCAATTCTGAAGATTCTTCCTGATCGCTCAGAATCAGCTTAAATAAATTGTATATTAAATTTGTCACAGTCAAGGAGAAATGGGGTGTTATTCAATTAATAGGATAATGCCGCCCCCCCCCCTCCCCAGTAATTGTGTGCATTTTTTATTCGATTGACATCATTTTACTCCCCCAAAACATCTTTTTTAGTCATTTTTCTTCATGACTGAGGTTTCTGGCAATTTCCCCTACTGCAGGAACTCCATTCGATTTGATGGAAGATGTGACCTACTTATATAATTGGCCTTTACATGATTGTAATGAACAAGTTCCCTACACAAGTTGTTGAATGGTTTACAATTAACAAACCTCACAACTGTACTTAGAAAATCATCAGTTTCAAGAGTAAAAAACTATTGTTTTTAGACAAGCAGGGCCAATTTTTATACGAAAACGTATCAGCCATCCCTGTTTTATAACAGTCAAAGGGTTAATGCATTCCTGAAGGTTTTCATGAATCACTCTCTAGAATTATCCTGATGTGATGATATGATTTGGCAATTGGATGTGTCATAAAAGATTCACTAATCCTTTGGTTGTGAAGCATGCCAGAAACCTTAACAAGCCCTGGTGCCCCCAAGGAAGCACCTCCTATGCCAGTCTGGATATGGAAATTCATATCACTCATCTTGGGAATAGAATCAAGACCAGGGCAACTCAAGTTTCCATCTTTTGTGCTTTATGGTCTCACTATAGTTTCTGCTGCTGGTAAGTCTCTTCACTGGTCAGTACTGTTGATGTTGAGCTGCCTGTATAACGGAAGATGAATGGTTTGCTCTCCTCACTTGCAGAAACATAAATGGGGAGAGTATTTCTTTTGTTTTTTGTGGAGATGAGAAATGTAGTTTGGAATCATTGGGGTTTCAGCCCAACTCTAATTAGATTTCATCTTCATGTAGTTAATGCTATGTTACTAATCTTGTAGGTAATGCTGAAGGCATCTAATAAAGATGATGCACAGAACTGTATCATCATTCCCTCATAAAGAACCAACAAAAATAATAATGAATGGTGGATCAATGAGTTTGGCTGGCTTCTCTTCTTTCCATTTCCCCAGTGTTTTCTTCATCTTAAATTTCATTTCCAGTCTATAAAGTTCTATGCTCTCAAACATCAGGACCTGTTTCAACAAATATGTATAAGATGCAATAAAAGGTTAATGAGTTTCTCCTTTCTCAAAGTGGGGTGGTTGCAAGAAATTGGAGAGAAAGTAGACATTGAGCATGAAAGTGTTGACAAAGATTTTAAGGATTAAAGCAAGTATAACAGAAGGTAAATAGGGCAGGAATTGAATAGAGCACAATTTATGAAAAGTTAATGCTTTCTAGCAGAGACTTTTAGCCCTTTAACTGTTGGGTATTTTTGCATCATTCTGTTCCCCTATGCTGAGTTTTTTTGGGGTAAATTACAAAAATTCCTCTTCCTCTGTCACCATCACTATTGTCAGTCACTGCCTATATTAGCACTATATACAAACTCTTCATCTGATTCACAATTTGTAATTAATTCAGTAATTTCCTTTTCTCTAAGATTCATGGCAGGAACATCTAGGCTTGGACAGTGCCATTTCTACTACCATACCATTGACAGCAAAAATCAATAGTGTGCAGACTGCAAACTTTTTTTTTTCTCATCTCTAATACAAGCTAAGAAGATATACATAGTTCCATAGGTTTGTCAAGAGATGTCAGTGCATGCTAAACCATCACTGGCAGCAGAGAAGCCTTCAAAAAATAAATAAAAAATGCAAGAGTTTCAAACCAGGATATCCCAGGCATAGCAGTTAAAGGGTTAGTTATAATGCACAGGGCCCATTGTAGTAATGTATGCCATATGAGTTTTACATAATCATGCTTGTTGAAAAAAGGTGAAATACATACTTATTGCAGACTTTTTAAAAGTAAATAATACTGTCCCTAAAAAGACTCCACTTTGAGCATATCTTCTTTAGTGGTATTTCCCCCCCCCCCCCCTCCCCTTCTTAACCAAGGAAAACAAGTACTCCATAAGTGAGCCCTTAAGGTTGAGGGAGAAATATGGCTCCAGAATGATGGTTTTCAATTATTGTGGGAAATATGACTGATAAATTCTTGAGAATTATGGAAGAAACTGATGGAGAGGACAACATTGGGTTGAGGAGCTGTCAGGAGGTAGAATTTTGATGCGACTTAATGAGAAGGATTTGATTATACTCAGAAAAGATCTGGTATTTTAGTCACAGAAGTTGTTTAGTATCAGGAGAGACAAGATCATTATTTTACTCATTGCAATTCAACACAGGGAGTATTGTGCATGGTTGTAGGTTTTGGTATTGTTGCTTTTCTTCCCAGGAAGTTGTTTGATATATCAATCTCCTCCTGTCTTTTGTTTTAGCTCATGTCTTGTCAAATGGATGGTTTGCTGTGTACAATGTCAAGTCATCAATTACACGTGACGACATCATACATGGGACAGTGGGTGTACTCCTAACAGCAGGGTGGTGTGCACTTGGCATATACTCATATCGTCTTGCTCGCCGCCTTTACTCTCATTCACATTTTCTCCCCATGTTGAAACTGCATGCCAAGACCGTGTTCCAACTAAACACTGCCATAGTTATCTCCCTCCTTATGATCACCTTCACCATCTTAAGTGATGTGAATGCTTTTAACTTTTGGGATAATGCCACTTGCAACAAAGGTTTGTGACCCTTCCTTTCTCTGACTTAAAAATGTCAAAATGGAAAAAGGAACTTTTATTTTCCAGTTGATTTGCATGTGATCGTCTGCAAGGTGCGCTACCTTTCTCGTGTTGTGTCTTCCATCATGTTCCTCATGTGGAACATCCTAGTCGCAATAGCTTTGACGTCCATATGCAGGACGCATACTCTGCGTAAGTTATCATTTTGTGAAATGAATCTTTTGTATTTACTTGATGTTCTACAATTTTCTTACTATCCAGAGTTTAATCTCCTTATTAAATCATGCTTTAAATTTAAATTTTAATATTTATTGACTTCTCTAATTTGTTGTGACCTTTTGGAAATGTGAGAAGAGGGTATTTGGATTTCACAGGTGATATCAGGCCCTTGGACTGTGCTTGTAATGTCATGTCTATGACAAATTGCTCTTTTCTTATCCTTGTGACACTTGGGATAAATTTATTTTATTTGCTGCTTGGATGTCAATTTATCATGTGCATTGGTGCCTGTGGCCTCCAGAAAAGAAGGGGTAAGTAATTCCATTCATTTAACAGTGTTAAATTTGATAGATAGTGTCTTTCATGGATGTTTCTCATTCTTCCAATTGACACACTTAAAAAAAATCAGTGACAGCCCAAGCAGTGCATGACATCCATGCAACATTGCTGCAACAGGACAAGCTAAATGATGTGGTGGTAACATTATGTGGATGTCATTCACTTGTATGTTGTGCTCTTACCCCTTGCAGGTATTCGGGGAGTGATAAAACAATTGCAAGAAGATGCTACAAAATGTGATCCAGAATTGCTACATCGTATAAAATCGATGCCAGACCCATGTAAGATGAAGTGAATGACTAATGGTGAATAAAAAAAAGTAATTATTGTACTGTATCTAAAACATCTTGTGTTGTCTTCCATTTGCTAAAGCTACAATTTGGTCAGATGAAGAGTTGGAAGGTGATGTAACAGACAATGAGGGACCCATTGATGATTCCCAGTTCCTTATTCAAGTTGTCTCTTCTGAGGTGAGTTCAAATATGGTTGATTTAGTCTGCATAACTGAATGTTGGAAGGCAAGCTACTATTGTATTTCTTACATGATATTAATTGCCACTGTCATGTCAAAGAGTGTGAATATTTTCTTAGGGAAGATAATGTTAAAGTTGCAAATAAGTATTCTTTCATGTAGAAATTTCCCTTTCTACATATTTCTATAGAAAAAAAGAAACTGAAACTTCTAAGAAAAAAATGGAAATGGATGGTTCTTCCAAAATGAATGGCTCTTTGACACCACCAGCCTTCAGGGCATAGCAGTAGAATGAACATTGGCTTCCATCACCATCAAAGATTTCTTTTGAACCTTTCTATGGTGGTTATAATAATTTGCCAATGGTTATAATCAATATTTACATAATTAACAATGCAGCATTTCATATTAATTTTCCTTCATATATTCCCATGACAATCCATCTTTTACTTGTGATATTACTTCCTTTTTTATTTTTCCTGAGTTACTGGGGAGTTTTTTCTGCACTAACTGAAGAAAATTATTCTAATTGTAAACATATTGCTCCTATTTCTGCATCCTAGTAATTTTTATTTCTCTACAGAAACATTTGGACCCAGAGTTAAGTATAAAAGTTTTTGTGACTAATTAGAAGACAACAGTTGATTTTTATGCAGGAGCATATGCATGTGTAGCAGTGCCAAGAAAAAGAAATGGTCACATCTTTTATTTTATTTAGGCTGTTTATTTTTTTTTTAAATCAGGTCTCCATGAGGAAGAGGTTGTTCCTCTCATGGAAGTTAAGGTAAGCCTACAACTCGTCAGAGGCATATTGTAATCATCATTTCCAAGTTGGCTATTAAGGTCTCCCCAATATGTAACTCATTGAGAAATGGTCCTTGACTGCCTTGAATCCATTAATGCTAATATAATATTCAGTATTTCTGAAATTTTCTCATATCAGGCAGGATAAATGATAATGAGATTTATTATCTGCAGGATGATGATGCACCAGATCTGGAATTCCAATCAAGCCCTGTTGAAGCATCTACATGTGAAGAGGGACCCATGACCAATAAACAGATTCTCCAAGCTTACTGGCCTCTTATTGTGAGACTCACCTACCTCTTAATTACATTTGTGAGGCTCTCCACAATTGACTCTTTTTACTTCTTGGTGCAGAATGAGATGAACCTGTCATCATCAGTGTTGCAGCATTGGATGATTTCTGTAATAGGACTGACCCTTTCTTGGACATCAGTCTATCTGGTCGTTTGGCTCACACACTCACCAACATTGACAGAATTGTGTGAAGTTCTTACTCCACTCTTGCTGCTTCCTCTTTTCATGTCAGCCTATGCCCAAGCAAGTACTGAGGGCATGCGCCTGATTCGAGTGAGTCCATGTCATTGTTTCTAGCTTTTCTCTTTTACAGGGTATCCTAGAACACTTGTCACATTTTGAAGCTGACCTGTTGTATAGTAAAAGACCTTTTTCAAGAACGGATTTACTCCTTTTTCCCAAATTTTGGGAGGGGGACCATGTTTCAAAAACTATGCCAGATTGCACTGAAAGTTTCAAACATCTATTTTCTCAGATGGCATTTGTGTGTCAAATTTGGAGCAAATCTATGTGTGTTAAGCAACCACCCTGGTTGAATTTATATGGGCCCATGTGAGATCGATGAATGAAGTTGATGACAATGATCAAAATTAGAATAAAGGATCTACTTTGATATTGGTGGGGGCTGCATGCATCATTCACTCCTCCTTGAGGTGGCAATTGCATGCTTCCATCTGTTTTGCTCTTGTTCACATGCTCCAATGGGGAGTTTGGAAGTTTATAGGGCACCTTCCTGAAATTGCATGCTGCCAAGAGTGCCCTTATCCTCAGATGTATCATTCATCCCTAGATGAATGGTACTGTACATCTGAATGACATGAGGATCAAAAGACATTTTTGAGTCATCCCATATTGTGCCATGGCTCCTTTCTCTCAGCAGACAAGCAAAAAATTGCAATCAAGTCAGTTGGTACTGCATGTAAACCCTCATGTCTTCTGCACCTTCTCTTGTCATACCCCTGATTCAGTGGCATACGGGGCTAGGGGGTGGTTACCACCCCCGGCAACCCTGGGACAGAGCTTGGTGCCCCCTTGGAGGCAATAATATTCTCCCCTGGTATCACTTAGGTGAAGTTTGGTGCCCCCATTATGCTGCCCTTCCTCCTGATTTTTCAGCCAAAGTATGCCACTGCCCTGATTATCTTGTGACACTCACTACACAGGTTCACAGTTCAGTCTGTTTAAGAACACCTACACATACCACCTTATCTATGTTAAATCAAAGTGAAATTGGGTTTCTCAAAACATTCATTCCACTTACTTCATCTCCAAAATACACCAGGTATGACTCAAAATTTATTCTTGACTCATTGCTCCAGGGTATTGTTCTACTAACCAGAACTACTTATTTGACAAATGTGGCATCTTTTTTAAATTTATCATGAGATGTAAAATATGATCTTTGCTTGTTTGGTTTAGGCAATCCGTCCAAGTACGAAGCGCTTGGCTGTCCTCTTCTATTTGGCACAAAGTCCACCCCAGATGACAGTGTATGGTGGAGCTGTGACATATCGGACCATCTTCACGACTGTTGCAGCCATATTTTTGGCCATTGCAGCCAAAATCCTTCTCAATGATCTCAACCAATGATCCTGAATATTGGAACTGATACTTTCCTTATTTTGCATTTGCATATGCACTTTTCTTTATTCCTAATTTTGGAGTTTATTTGTATTTCTTGCTTCAGGGCATTTGCATTTTTGGATGCATTATACATTGCAATCAAGGTGCTAGATCTTCCACATGAACTTACTATCTTTATGGATATACTTTGTGATATGAGCTTTGCAGGGCATTCTTGTAGTTACCCAGTGTGTTGATGTAATGTGAGGGAAAGAATCTATTATGTTACCAGCAACCAGCAGGAATGACTTTTGTACTTGCCATGGACTGAAGCTCCTACTGAGTTTTCACTGTGATTGTTCTTGTCTGTTTAGCTTTTGAAAAGAAGGTATGGAGTATTTTGCCATATTCATATTTTTTTCCATACTCCAGATGATATATGTAGATCTTCATGAGTTCTGTAATGAAATGTTATTTGAGTCTACTGCTCAAAACATTATGTATTTTCGTTCCACCATTCATGCACAAATACAGCTCAGGTGTATTTTGTTCTTTTTTGCAGGTAAGTGTATCCCAAAGGAATGAGTTGTAAGGTTTACCATTTGCAAAAACATGTCACCTTCCACAGATGGATCATGAGTCTGGCCTTTTGTACAGAGCCAAAAAAAGCAAGTCAGTGGAAATTAATACCGTAGGAAAACAATTGTTAAGTAGATCAATACAGTTTCCTACAATAGAAAGAGAAACTAATTCTGCAAATACCTTTCAATTTTTTTCAAGGTGGGGGTAAATAAAATGACTATATGTTTATGAAAAGCGCCCTTCTACCCCAGTAGCACAGTATATCGAACCGATATTGGCTTGAAGTCGACGCAATGTTGGTCTAACATACTGTGCTATCAGGGTAGCTTTCATGGAAGAATATTCAGCATGCTGACCTCTTGAATGTGATTTTGGGCGACATGCACCAATTGAGGAGTCAGATTAGTTTAAAGACGAGATGAACACGATCACTAAACGTGTTTTAAAATGTGTTTATCTTCGACATGCACCGCCGAAAATCGGACTAATTTCCACGAACACATTTATCTGCGACTTAAACACGTTTAAAGGTGGTATGGGGGCACTCGGTAAGAGATTGGTGAGTATAACGAGCCGATTGCACATTGCTATTGCAATTACTCTTTGTTCGCGGAAAGTCGAAACCCTCTTCGGAATTCGTCTCAAAATCG